CAACCCGAAACTAGTGACCAACCCAAAAATAATGACCAACCCAAAAATAATGACCAACCCGAAACTAGTGACCAACCCGAAACTAGTGACCAACCCGAAACTAGTGATCAACCCGAAACTAGTAACCAACCTGAATGTTTATTACTATACCAAAGTATTTATGAAGAATCGTATGATGATTTATATGAAGATAGTTGTGTATATTATAAGCCAGAAGATAGTTGTGGAGAGGATGAGCCAGAAGATAGCATATTGAGAGAAATTTATAGTAGGCAAATGTTTGTGTCATTTGAAGTACTTGAACAATGTTTAAAGCGATATGCCATCCGAATAGGCTTTAAATAAGAACTGTAAGGGTAGAAAAGGGTGAGAGTAATTGGGCAAGGAAGACGTATAAGTGCCATCATGGTGGAAAATATGTACCAAAAAAAAGGTTGGATTCTACACAAAATAGAGACCGAGAATCAGTCTGTATTGATTGTGGGTTTATAGTAAATGCTTCATATCGTAAATCTGAGAACCTAGTATTTGTTAACAAATTTGTTAATAAATATAAACATCCATTACAAAACTGGGATTCTCTTCAAGAATTCTCACCAGCATTACGTAGGATACCAGATGATATAATGAATGAAATCAAATTTTATATACAAGAGTGTCAATTAGGGGCTACTGTTTTAAAAAAGATATTAAGAAAAAAGTATCCAGATCAGGACATTTACCACCAAGATCTTTATAATGCGATACATAAATTTAAAGCTGGTTTTCAAGTTAAAAATGATGCTGCGACACTTCTAGAACATTTAATTAAATTACATTCGGAGGATCCTGAATATTATTTCAAAGTTGAATTTGAGGGTATTGATAATAGACTATTCAAAATTTTTTGGATATCGCCTGAGCAGAAGCAAATGTGGATTTGATACCATAACGTTGTTATAAATGATAACACCTGTAAAACCAACAAATATTTAATGCCCTTAAATATTTTTGTAATAATTGATTCAGATCATAGAAGT